ACCCTGTTTGGGTTTAGGTTTTTAACAGAGGTACACCATAATGCGGATTCGGGCTTTCAGGCATTCGAGGACTTCAACGGCGCACTCGGGTACAACATGAAGACGAGCAAACGACAACCCCCAGCAACAACACACAAGATACAAGGAGTCATCATCAGCACAGAGCCACAACACATCACATTCACACCATGCCCGCAGAGAGCCCAGCGGATGTGCCTCGACATCACAGCACGCCTGCAGAACAACACACTCGACCCCGACCAGGCCAGACGCGTGGCAGGTAAGTGCAATTTCTTGACCGGCCGACTCTTCGGCAAGGTCGACCGTGCGCCGCTTAAAGCCATTTACGCCAGAGCACATAGCAACATCACACAGTTGGATAAGCCCACCAAATCAGCTCTCTGTGCCCTGCTTAACATCATACAACATTGCAAACCCACGCGAGTTCCCCTTCAGATCAAGCATAGACATTTCGCCATCATCTACACGGATGCATACTACATGGCGGGAGACATCAAACTCAAGCCGGGGGGACGACGTTCCAGATGGATGGTGCCCCAACGCCTTCACCAACGTCGAGAACGGCTGGGGGGCGGTCATCTTCCCATGCTTGGTACTTCCAAGGCAGACTGCCCAGACAGATCCTGAAGCAGTTCAGCTCCAACACCGCGTTCATCTATCTCTTGGAAGCCTGGGTTGCCATGATTGCGCCGCTGGTCTGCGAGCCCATCCTATTCAGTGCTGCGACAATGAAGCAGCTCGCCACGCCCTCATTAAAGGAGTAGGAAAGCATCAACCCCTGAATTGTTTGATCAGTGCCCACTGGACATGGCACAAGCGAAGGGGCATCGCTCACCGCATTGAGCGCGTGCCGACAAAAGCCAACCTGTCGGATCCCATCAGTAGGTTTGAAGATCTACCAAGTGGACTGTTATGGTCCCACATACAGATACCCCAGGAGGCCATCACAGAGAGGTGCCTCAAAGTGATTGGCGACATCCAAGTTGCATCTTGTCTAGGCTTCGAGAACATCCCTGGCCTAGAACTTGTGCACTCGTGTTTTAACGTCTAGGTTCCTCTGGTGTCCTAAACTACGACGGGAAATCGTACACCAGCGACGGGAATGTACAATTTCAGATCCGTCTCCGTACTACGAGACGATGTAATCAACATTTGGACACCACAGGTTGCACCTTGGTGCAACAAATGTTTTGACGGGGAATCCAGCCACTGAAGTTGACATGGTTGGAAAAAGTGCACTTCCCCGTCTCGGACACCTTGTAATAGCTACGGGTTAGGTATTGCGTTACTTGTGCGTGTTCAATTGTCGTGTGTTACGCTTGCGTCAGTAGTGACAAGTATTCTAGCACCAAGCTGGTAACCACAAATGCATGCGGATTCCATGCTTGTGCCTGAACCGTCGCCATTTTGGTTACAGCTGGTGCTCTTGCTCGGAACATCAGTTCCATTTCTCACCCACCCTCCTCACCCTGGTTGTTCAGTTTATGCGTACTCAACTTGTACATTCTTCCTCCATGTCTCACATTCCCCGAATGTACAATTTCAGATCCGTCTCCGTAATACAAGACGATGTAATCAACATTTGGACACCACAGGTTGCACCTTGGTGCAACAAAAGTTTTTGACGGGGAATCCAGCCACTGAAGTTGACATGGTTGGAAAAAGTGTGTTTCCCCTTCTCGGACACCTTGTAATAGCTACGGGTTAGGTATTGCATTACTTGTGCGTATTCAATTGTCGTCATTTACTTTGACGAAGATCTTTGCTCTGAGGTAAAAATTTGACTGCGCATGTATGTCACAATCTTTCATGTTGTGCTGGCAAGCACGTGTCTGAACATGGGTGTACATGTCCACTGCAAGCACTGAATGTACATGTCCGCTGCAAACATTGAATGTACATGTCCGCTGCAAGCACTGAGGTTTTGGTTTGATTGAACACAAAAAGGGTTGGTCACAAGCTGTGCATTCAAGCACCCATGCCGACCATTTTGTTTGCAGGTACACAAGACTGATCAGGTCTCGCTTCCCACTTGCACCCACAGCTTCGTTGAGTGTGGTAGGATGCAAGTGCCACACTCCCCTGCAACTTCTGCCTTGTAGTTACAAGTAACAAATTGTTAAGCTCTTTGGAACAGAGGGAGACACACACACACACCCTCCTGCATCAGGAGGGAAAAGCTTGTATGTTTTGCAACGACTGTGGTTTTGTCAAATCATGATAAGACTGATCATCCGCGCACTCTTGCACTCTCTTAAGGTACGCATGCAATTTTACAGCAGGAAGAATTTCGTTCTTTGGTTTTCTACTGCACTCAGGCTATTGACGTTGTCCAAGTTCTGGTATGACAACTCGGCCCCATTGCAAATTGCGAACCACCCTTCCTGTGTACCTGGCGATGTATTCGTCTTGCGTGGAACGCAACACCCTGTATGGTAGCGCCCACTCATGAGATGCTCATTCCAGATCACTGGTGATTAGGCGTCGTTCACCATTCACTACATTTGAGAATGGTTGGAACCAGTCACGTGACACAGCTGCCAAAGACACCATCCTGGAAAAGGAATGTGAAAATCCTGAAAGATGTACTCGGGAGCGGTGACGAATAATCCGAAGGCACATTTTCGGGTTTGTAGAAGTAGCAGCGGCCCTGGCTTTGAAGTTTACTAAGCAACTGATGACGTGGCCCTCACCGGAAATAAATTCTGGAGCTTCGGAGTCGGGAGAGGTCTCTTGATCAGTGATCGCGGTGACACCGGCTACTGGTTCTTCAAAGATGTCGAGGAAGGCGTGAGCTATGCTAAACGACACTTTTACATATCTTCGAGAGAGGAACTCGGCAAAGCCCGTAAGCGCGCTGTCTGGTAGATCCATGTTGGCAATTTGTAAATCCATTAACAGCTTGAGAGCTCAATTTTACACCAAAACATCAAGCATTGTTTTCAGTCATGCAATTATTGCAAGTGCAAGATCATTGCAACAGCACAAACAAGATCAAGAGCAAAAGCAATACCTGCTTCATTAGGTGTTGCATCCTTGTTTTATCACGCCACGATCGCGGATAAGTGGATCCTGTGAATTATTAGCCATCTGAAACAGGTGTCCCAACAGATTCTTCGTGCTGGGTAAACACTGACCCATTCTCATCCATGGATTCATCAAGGTCTTGGATGT